CGAGCTCAGCCCTAACTTTCCTTTAAGCAAGCGTCTAATCACATTACATAAATACGCCATAATAGTAACTATGAATCATCAAAATTCAAGTCAAACAGACGTAACGTTACCTGTGCCTGTGCCGGTTTTAGTGAGAACGACGCGCGGCGTGAAAAAGGTTGTCCCGGCATGCCCTGGGACGGTGACCCCACCAGCGTAGAACCTTCCCTCAGACTCGCTGTGCTATCGTGGAAGGTGTCGGCTGTAGGACGAGCGTAGTCCTCTGCCCCGATATGTATCGATGGATGGTGGTCCCCTTTCCACGATAGTTCGTGGAAGGTGATCGAATGGAGTGACAGTTTGCATTATGCAATTAAAAATCCTAACCAACAAAGTAGGGAATAGCTATCCAACTGTTGTTTTAGTTGTATTTTACTTCATATTATAGTTATATCAATGTAAATCATTGTTTTCCCTTGTGTTTCTCACTTTCCCTGCCATGTCGTAAAATGTGGTGAACCCATCGCTGTATTTGCTCCAAAGCAAATATTGGCCTTTCTAGTTTTACGTAATGCGTTGTATGTACCCGGAATTTATCGTAATGGGGAAGGCTTCTTGAATTTAGCGTAATACGTAGCCGGTTTAAAAAAATAGCGTAGAAAGTTGTTGGACCCCCCCCCCCCCGTGCAGACCCTCATATAATCTTCAGATTCCATCATATGTCCAGATTTTCAAAACGCTTTACTACTAAAGTTTCCAGCTGCTTTAATCTTGGAGAAGATTGTGTGGGTGTAGACAGTTGATCTACAGGTGAAGCATTAAGGCGACCCGGTGGGTGGTATGTGGTGGGGTCACTAGAAGAATCCATTCTTAAAGAGGGGAGGCATTTTTAATTAGGTATTGGCCAGGGCTGTGTGTGCGGGAGGGGGACAGATCCCTTTTTACCTCCATGAAATGGAAGGTATTGTTTTTGGCGCGTCTGTGTGCGTGTGTGTGTGTGTATGTGTGTTTGTGTTTCCGCANGGTGGTCACGGAAGTTGGCGATCCGGCGGAACAGTTTCACGTGACCGGAGGACTTGGAGGTGCGGAGGAAGCGGCGTAGGAGGGATACGGGACAAGTGTTGTTGTGTGTTTGGGCAATACAGATCCAGTGTCCTTCCCGAAACTGGTCGTTTTTGCGCTTCTCTAGAAATAGGGCGACGTATCCATCGCAGAAACAGACGTCGTCCGCGTGGAGTTGGCTGAGGTCATCCCAGCGAAGGAAGCCGGAGAAGCCTAGGACGATAATGCATAAGGTTTGCAGAACGTCAAGGTTGGTAGATGGTGACAGGTGTGTGGAGATCAGCTTGCGAATGTCCCGGATGGAAAGAGGCAACTTCTTGGTAGTCGGCGCTGCAAGGAGGCGTTTCGCTGCCTGTAGAACTTGTGCTGGTAGCGGATGTAGATGGGGGGAAGGGTGGCCAGTTTTACGGTGAGCCCATGCTATGGCAAAGCATGCCGCGTCGAGGGGGGCTGGTGAGCGTGAAGACTGTAGAAGGTGGAGAAGGTACAGCGCTACGTGGGGGCCTTTCGTCGGTAGATACGGCAAGTGTTTGTCGGTCGCGAAGGCTTTCCAGCGGAGGAAGGAGCGGGTGTACTTTTTGACGGTGTTCGTTGATCTATCGGCAATGAGGACTGACGGTAACAAGTTGGTCAAGGCACGCAGTTCAGGGTCCCTGACGTCACACAACTCCTGATACGGCTGGGCGGCGGCGATTGCTGGTGGCGGGGTGAGGAATTGTGAAATGATTGTTAGCGGTGATGGCTGGCTAACAAGTAACTAGTTAACTGATAACACAACTAACACTAAGTAGCAACGAACAGTATCGTCGAGCGGCTGGTGCTCAGAGTCAAGTCTCTAATGCAAGGTTAAGTCCAATAAAGTCAGGTAGAGACCACGTGTCAGACGGCCGTGTGTCGTGCCCGAGTTGAAGTTCGCACGCTGAGGGGGGTCGTCACGTCGGAGTAGGACACGGAGAGGCTGTGGTAGGATGATGTGTAGGACATCCGCAGATGACATGTGGAGCAATGTGCCACTGAACGTGCGCCACATCGAACAAGGCTGGTAATTAAATGTGCCACGTGAACGTGCGCCACATCGAACGAAGGGTCGTAACTAGATGTGCCACGTGAACGTGCGCCACATCCGCAAAATTAAGCAAAAGATGTGCCATAGGTGTGCCACATCTAACTTTCTTTTTTACAACGAACAAGGCTCGTAACGAGATGTGCCACGTGAATTTTAACCAACTAATTAAAAAGTGCCAGAACAGGAGGTGAGCCAGTCCGAGCAAACTCGCCCGAATGGGTGTGCCACGTAGGTGTGCGCCACATCCTTCGCGCGAGTAAGCGTCTCAAGGCGAGGAATCTAACATGCCAATAAACGTACAAGACGGAAGTAACTGACAACAGTCAGCCAATAAAAACGGGCACCGCTTGTGCCAAGGTGTAGTGAAGAATTTGGAAAGGGTTCGTCGGTAGCTCCTCCTGTAGGATCACATGGAGGAGAACAGAATCACCCAATTAGCATGGGGGTGGGGGGTGGGGAGGGGATAATCAGGGTAGGACACCGGGGATGAAGCAGGGTTTGGTTACAAGGGTAGACTGGATGGGAGGGTAGGGTTGGCAGGATCCACACGAGCAGAACCTGGCAGCTATCATGCGGAAACCTAGTGGGAACCGAGAAAACACGGAGCCTTGGGGGGCCCCGGATAGGAGATTAGGCTGAGGGGGGAGGTCCGTCCAATTGATGAACGTCGTACTCAGATGTGAGCCGTCTGGGGCCAGGAGTGGCCACCAACTCGCTGATTGCCAAAAGGGGAAGACGATGGCGCCACAGCAGTTGTCCTCCTTGACTTTGGCTAAGATCCTAGGGATCAAGCGTGGTGGGGGGAAAATCCAGTTTAGGTGGTGGGACCAAGAAACGGTAAAAGCGTCCACTGCGTCAATCTGATGAGGGTTCCACCACCTAGAGGAGTAGGGTAAAAGTTGAAACGAATTAATGCTAGCAAAACGATCGTACGAGAAGGGTCCCCTTTGCATCCAAAGTGCAGAAGATTGTCGGATCGAGCTTGTAATCGTCTGGGTCGAAAATCTTGGACAGAAAGTCTGCCCGTTCGTTGTCATTTCGTGGGATCCATTCGGCTGAAAGGCGAATATGTTTGTTAGTGCACAGGGAATAAATAGTCACCGCTTCTCTTTGTAGGTGAGGTACCCTACTGCCACCAGACAATATCCTCACTACGTTCTGGTTGTCGGAGCGGTGTAGGACTCTCTTGTTGGCTAAGAGGTGGATAAAGGATTGTAAAACCAATCGAGTGCCTAGAAGCTCACGAAACGTAGAACTGGTGAAGGGCGCAGCCAGGTGTGGTTCCCAGTTTCCTCTAGCCGTGTAGGTTGAACCTAGTTGTACAGTGAAACCGCCCCAGGCATGATTGCTAGCGTCTGAGTACGAAATAATGTCAGTTGAAGGAGACGGCGACCATATGGGGTGCCCTAGGAGGGAGGAAAAGTTCTCCCGCCAAAATTCAAGTTCATCTCTGGCGGTGGGAGGCAACCTGTGGGTAGAGTCCCAAGATGGTGCATTATTGATGAATGAATATAAGCTACGCGTCCAGAGCCGAGACACTGGTCCTAAGGCAAGGCCCATGGACACGATATTGCCTGCAATGCGTGCTACGGAGCGGGCGGAGATAGCATCAACATTAGACAGGGCTTCATTCAAGAGGATAAGGAATGAGTCACAACGACGGTCAG